TATGTTGGACTATGACTGTCTCATCTCAAACGCTCTCGTTGTCTGCAATAGGACAAAGACTGCTTTGATTCTGAATCTCTTCATCTGGGTTGAATTGTGCTGTTATGGGGAAAATCTGTAACACACACACACACACACACACACACACACACACACACACACACACACACACACACACACACACAGGTTTTTGAAAGAATACCCCTAAGAGCGGGGGGAGGACAGCAGCAAAGCCAGTGGATGGATCGACAACCTCCAAATGTTTTGATCTCGGTAAGTAGGGCCCCCAAACCCCTGATTTTTACACACATCTATGGACTCTACCTTACTAAGCAAACCATGCCCTGGTATGATTGGACAGAATCCGAACCATCGGATAAGCCCTCACCTCTGGCACTAACTGGAAATCTATCAAAGGAACCTGGACTCTGCGTCTAAAACCTAGCTCGGAAAAGTTGACCCTCGAGCTGGGGACCTGTCGGATGCCTCCTGATAAAGTGAAACGTCAGGCACATACTGGAAATCAATCCAAGGAACCTGGACTCTGTGACTGAGACCTAGCTCGGAAAAGTTAACCTTCGAGTTGGGGACCTGTCGGATGACCCCTGATAAAGTGAAACGTCAGGCACTTACCGCAGTCCCACCCGTCAGTATCCCCCGGGAAGATCGCAATTGTATGCCTTCACATGATTCAGCCCTCCACTGGGATAGTGGGGATTACCTGGCACTTCGTGACATCGGTACCACTGGAGCAAGTCCCCTGAATCAACCGTGGTTTTCGTAATTACCAGAAATCTTCTTCAGCATCCAGGGTGCAGCGGGACAAAGGTAGGTCCAGGTACCCTTAGATAGTGACGGACTCAGCTATTGCTTGCAGAACAAGGGGATTACTTGGTGCACCCACGTGCACACATCCCCCCTCCTCTCCTTTTCTGAGTTTTTTCTCTGGTTTTTCTTTTTCCTTTTCCTTTTTTTCTTTTTTCTTTTTTCTTTTTTCTTTTTTCTTTTTTCTTTTTTCTTTTCTTCCCCCGTTTTCTTCGTCCCTGTCCTGCCGTATACATATATACTAGCACTGTTTCCGATTGGAGTCATAGTGCATTGCCTGCTTGCTTAAGTGCGATTACTAAGAATTGGAGCCTGTGAAGCGAACGTGATCTTCGGCTATGGCGGACTGGGACTTCACGACCGGAGCGGAGGAGGACTTACCGATAACGCCGGAGCCTGAGGAGGAAATCGCGGCGGAAGAAGTGGTGTATGGTCCTTGGATCTCCTCTCTCTGTGGTTGTATGGGAAATGGCTGTCTGTGTTGGTCTGTGTATGGATGTGCTTTCTGTGCAGGAATGTAACCCCTCTGATTAGCCGGTTGAGTGGCAACGGCGAAAAAGCTTTTAGGGAAGCCACACCCCTCCTGCGGCGATGATTAATCCATGAAGAGTAACCGGGCCCCCACATGTTTTGCTCCAAGACGTTCTGCCAAGCCGGACTTCACTATTAGCTGACTAGGCTTCCAAATGTAGGAGTGGATGGAAGTGGGAACTGGTCGCCTGATTACGTCCCATATGGGTTTTATTTTGAGTCGGAACTATGGTTGCATGAGCTCTTTTTTGGCCCTGATCTCGTTTGATTATCTTGCCCTCTCTGGCTCTAACCTCATCCTTCGTGGTCTCGCCCCCTCACTCTCATACCTCGGTCATCATTCAATCCTCCTTTGGCACGCGTCCTTCTCTGAAGATATGCGTAGCATCAATCACCCTTCAACCCCACCAGCTGGATGGGCCGTCCTTTCTGATTGCTGCTATGCCCTCCTCCTTCTTTGAATCCTGCTATACCCCTGACTACCTCGCTCATACTATTTGCAAATCTTGTCTACTCGGATGGATCGCCCTGCTTATGAAGGAGTCGACTCCCATGGACGCTATAGCCATCCTTGTCAATTCTGCATAAGGGGACATCAAGTGAGGTGGCTATTGAAACGGTATGATTGGGGCATGACTGCCGACCTGGCGTACCACCATATGGTGGGGTGCATGACGAGTGTGTCACGGGATTATCTAAGACACACACACACACACACACACACACACACACACACACACACAATCAATTTTATGTATGTCTGTTTTTTCCCCTGTCGTTTGTCTTCCCTCTGATTTTTTCTTACTTTTTGTGTGCCGAACTGAGCACCTCTAAGTAGTGCCAAACGGTAGGTCATTCCTTGTCTGGAGTGCCTACAGCACTCTTAGGGGGCCTGCTCGGTTCGGGATGTCTGTGTTGCCTGTGGGCGATGACGGATGCTTGTCGGAGTCTCCCTGGCTCAGTGGGTGGTGGGAACCAACAGTCTGCAGGGTTCAATTGTGATGTGAGTAGGTCATGTGCTGCTTTGCCCAGTGTTGGATGTGTGGACTGCCTCGTCTGCGTTTCGACGCTGCCTTGCTGCCTGTCCCGTTTGCTTCACACGTGGTTCCCTGCAGGTTCCTGTGTTCGCTGTGTGGTGTGGCCGTGTTGTCGGTGTTGCCATGCGCTGCGTTGCTCCGCTGCCTTGCTGCCCATTTGCTGGCTGTGCTTCCATGTTTGTTGCTTGTGTGCCTTGTGGGTTGGTTGCCTTGTTGCTGTTGCCTTGTGCTTCGCCTCATGGTTGCCGAACTGCTGGTCCGCTCGCCCTGTCATCCCTTGCAATGCGGTTGCCTTGTGCTACACTACACGGTTGCTGTGCTTTTCATTAGTCATCCGCTTGCCGTGTCGTCCCTTGCAGTTGTTTTTTGGCGCTGAGCAGCCGTGTTGCCTCTACTGTGTTCCCTGGTGCTCCGCAGGGTTGCTGACCGCTTCCAGTTGCAGACAGTCTGCCTTGAACAAGGGTCAAAGGGTTCATGACCCAAACCATCAAATATGGAGATTCTGCAGATTGTCGAGGGTTCAGCCTCCTGATGAGTTGGTGCAACTCCGACGAAACAATCTTGTTATTATCAGACTGAGTTTTTTTTTTTTTTTTTTCAGTTTTGGCTTCGGAACTTGAGTTCCTTTTTGCCTCCTCAGCCCTCCTGTTCTTTCTTTTTCTTTGGGACAAGTACGTTTGCGTCACAAACGAAGTTCAAAAGGGCAAAAAAAACAATAATGGGCAACGAAAAAATGGCCGTAGTTCGAAAAGGCAGTCATAACATCAGAAGGCGGT